GATACGCACACATACATATACACACATGGCATATACACGTGACCGCATGTACAGAATTAGAGTCACCTCTGATGGCAGCAGGCCCAGCTCCCATCCCAGATCCTGCCTTGTCTGCTGTGACTGCAGCTCCTCCGTCAGAAGCAGTCACTGTCTCACCATCCACGTCCAGGATGCCGAGGGACGCTCTTGGAAGAGCATGGAAACTCTTCGAGCCAGTTCTGCACCCTGGCTCTGAAGAGCCTCCCCACCCAGGCCCTCATTCTCTGTTCTGAAACGCTGACTCCACGGTGGGGGCAGGCTGGGCAGCCTGACTGGGAGGGACTGGATGCCCCAGCTCAGCCTCCATCACAGAGAACGCCCCTGCAGGGTCCATGGAGTCACTGCTGAGACCAATAACCTCCCAGGTATGTGCATGAGCTTGACTGAAGCTAGCTGAGCCATGCCCATGGCTGCAGACCCCCTACCTACACTGGCCAGACCCCAGACTCACGTGTGGGATAAACCACTGCAGGGCTTTGGGATGGCGTGTGACGCAGGGACGATTTCAAGAAAGGCCAGGAGTGTGTCACCTGGAAACCATGACAAAGGACGACCTCGCAGCATTCAGCCCAGGAGCCCAGTGAGCTGGACCCAAGACCCAGCTTTCTGGGTGGACATGACTCAGAAAGGCTTGAGCTTCGAGCAGAATGAACAGCAGCTGGATTGGGAAGCAGCCAGGGTTGGGAAGGGAGAAAGCAGACAGGCTGTTAAGAAAAGAACTAAAATGCACATGTCAAGTAGACAAGCGCTTCACATGATCAGCAGCTAATTTTTAAAACAGCCCTTTGAGTCATTTCCATCGTGTTCGACTCTTTGAGACCCCATGGACTATAGCCCACCGGGGTCCTCTGTCCATGGAATTCTCTGAGTAGGAATGCTGGAGGCTTGCCATGCCTTCCTCCAGGGACTCTTACTGACCCAGGGATCGAACCTGTATCTCTTACATCTTCTGCATTGGCAGGTGGGATCTTTACCACTTTTGTCAAAACAGCCTTATGGGGTGAGTGCTGTTCTCATCCCTTTCGGTGGGAGAGAAAGATGGAGGCAGTGTGGCGGCGTGAGCTGCCGGAAAGGTAGACCAGATGGATGGTGGGCCTTGCGGGAGATCTGGGTAAGCGGCATGGGAAGGAATGCGTGTCCTGGGTTTGAAAAGGCAGAAGGAATGCCGTGGGCAGGGCGCCAGGCTGTCACCAGGGTGGGCCAAGCTTGACGGGACTTTGAGCTTCAGCTGGATAGAGCGAGAGGGCCCAGCATCACCGAGGAAACGGGAGATCCCCATGGGAGCCTGTCGCTGCCCCCAGCTCCCGGGGACTTCTGGAGTCTCCTTGACATTTGGAAATCCTGGGCCCTGAACAGGGTGTCCTGGAATTCTCATAGCCACTGAGTGATTTAGAGAGCTGCTGGGTGACCCCACCTTGAGGAATTTCTGAAGAAAAAGAGGGCATTTGCAAATGAGGGCGTTACCCCTATCACCAAAGAGGAGATGGAGGAACAAAAAGGTTAATTAATTTTCTCTGAGGTCTCTCCGAGAGTCAACTGCTTAACTGGATAAGAAAATGTAACTCGAACGATTTTACAAGTGACAGGCTGATGTCTCCCCTCCTGCTCCCCGTGTGGCCCAGAAGACGGGTCCTCCACGTCCACTGGCCAGTCTGGCTCCCGCTCCTTCCACCTTGGCTGGGGGCTGACCCCTCGACACCACCACCACAGACAGCAAAGCTGCAGGTTTCCTTAGAGAATGAGGCCACGAGCGCTCCTGTTCTGTCTCTGTAATTAGCCTCACGTCAGCCTTCTCCTGGGCACCATCAAATTTTCTGTTCATGAGAATATTCTTCTCTGGAGTCATCACAAAGACAGATCGGTGGTTAGACACACATCAAAATGTGCCCAGACCTTTATGTTTTTGAACTTGTTCTTTGAGAAAGCAGACCATTTCTTTAGGTTTATGTGTGCATGAGTGTCCAACTCTTTGCAACCCCACAGACTGTAGCCCACCAGGCTCCTCTGTCCATGGGATTCTCCAGGCAAGAACCCTGAAGTGAGTTGCCATGCCCTCTTCCAGGGGATCTTTCCGACCTGGGATCAAACCCATGTGTCTTAACGTTTTTCTGCATTGGCAGGCAGGTTCTTTACCACTAGCGCCACCTGGGAAGCCCTTAGGCTCCTGGTGAAGCCATATTTGCCGCTTTGAGAAGGAAAGGGTGTTTTTGAAAATCGCTGCTCATCCTAATATCCATCTGCAGTGATCTAACTGTGAATGTCAAGTTTGATTATCGGCCTGTGTGTCTGAGCAGCTACCCTACCAGGGAGAGCCACCCAGCTCCGGGGAGGGCAGAGGAGCCCTGGGAGGGGCTGGGGGGGCGGAATCTTCTCTCCCTGATGAGGGGTGTGGTGACGACGCTCACACACGGCTGTCCCCTAGAATCAGACATCAGAGTGCCCCGGTCCCCCTTCTGGGCCCCTGGCCTCCCCATTGTAGCTGCCAACTCGATCTGTCCACTATTAAAAATGCAGCAGATGGTACATAAAATATGAAGCCACTTCCAAAACTACAGACACTCCAACTCTGGGAGGCAAATAAAGTCTGATTAATCATCTGGAACAGAAGCCTCAACCTCCAGCTCATTGAAAATGTGATTATTTCTGTCCATGTTTGAATATTTTCTGGAATAGCAAGAAAGCGCTCGGTCAGGGCCTGACAGGTCTGGCTGAGCAGGAGCGGGAAGCGATTACCCTTGGCTGGCGGCTCTCTCCAGGGCTGCCCATTAAGCCCTGCTTTCCATCCTGGTTCTTCTTTCTGTGAACCACCCTCAATGCCTCTGCAGCGTTCAGATTCTCCATTTCTTAAAGGGGGCCACGCAGGCCCCGCAGGTCTGTATTTGCAGTCAGTGTGAGTGTCCTTTGCTGCAAAAGTTGCCTTGAGCTTGGTGGCCGGAAACAACAGAAACCGACTCTCTCCCAGTCCTGGAGGCGAGAAGTCCGATGGTCAAGGTGTCTGTGGGGCCGTGCTCCCTCCGCAGGCTCCGGGGGAGGGTCCTTCTACACCCTCTAGATCCAGCGGCTCCTAGCTTGTGGTAGCATCCCTCCAGTCCCTCTTCTGCCTTCTCGGAGCCTAATTCCCTCCCCTGTCTTGGGACACTTAGTGCATCCAGTCCAGGATGGTCTCACCTTCAGACCCTTCACTGTTATCCAGCAAAGATCCTTTTCCAAGCAAGGTCACCATCACATTTGGGGGTCAGGATATGGGAGACCTTTTGAGGGGTCACCATCAGCGCCCAGTCCCCCAGGATTTTCTCCTTGCTTTGGCTGGCTTATATGGATTCACTTTTGGAGGGAAAACCACTATGGTGTTAAAAAGTGAATCTGCTTTGCAGAAGAGCGTGGAGGCTCTCAGAGAGGAGGGGTGGCCTGGCTCCCCCACAGGCCAGTGCTTGCCTCTGGTCCTCCCGAGGCTGGCTGTCACCACTCTGCTCAGCCAGCCCGAGGCCAGAGTAGAGGACCCGCCAGGCGTCTGCAGGGCGAGTTCCTCCCGAGGCCCCTCTCCCGGGGCCTGTGGACAGCCGTCTTCTCCCCGCGTCCTCACACAGTCATCTCCGTGCAAGCTGCTGTTCTAACCTCTTCTTAGAAGGATCACTGGGTTAGGGTTCACCTGCTGCCTGACCTCACTTTACCTCCGTCACCTCTTCCACGGCCCTGTCTCCAGTACGGCCACCTTCGGGATTAGGGCTGCAGCGTGCAGATTATGTACGGGGAGCAAGTCAGTGCAGAAGAGCCTCTAAAACAGCCCTGCAACTTTGCAAGCCCTGCCCTTGGCTCCGCCCCCTAAGGCGTGTCAAGGCGGTGCAGTGTGCCTGCGGTTCGGCCCAGGGGTGAAGGGTCAGAGAGAGGAACTTGGCCTTGCTGGCGGGGTTGACTGAGCGCCCCAGGGCTGGAATCTAGGATGTGAGGCCCATGCCCTTTCCACAGCAGGCGTGAGGAGTACCCAGGGAGCGTCGGGGAAGAGGGGGCCTTCCTGCGGTCCAGGTGCAGCCGTTAGACTCCTAGGGAAGCAGCGACTTACATGGTGGTGTCGCCAACGGAGGGGACAAGCCAGGCTCTGACGAGTGTCCTGCTGGATAGGAACAAAGCTCCCAAATGTCCACTCTGCCACAGCCCCAGCCTCATCTCAATCTAGAGAGCAACCTGAACGAGGACGCTCACGTTCAGAAAAATAAAACAAGCTAGGATGCCTGCTTCAAGTTCAAGTTCAGATAAAAGCATCATTAATCTTTTAGTAGAAATAAGTCTGTGTTAGTCTATAGGAGTAACAAGTACCATGGGCGGAGTGGTTCAAACAACAGACATTTATCGTCTTGCAGGCTGGAGGCTGGACGTCCAAGGTCAAGGTGCTGGGAGGCACGTTTAATTCCAAGGTGTCTTCCCTTGGCTGGCAGCCAGCTGCCAGCTTCCTGTGTCCCCCCGCCACAAAGTCACCTTTGCAGGGATGCACGCACAGGGCAAGCGGCCTTTGCACTTCTTAGAAGGACGTGGATCCTGCCAGACTAGGACCTGCCCTCTGGACTCACTTAAACTTCATCACTTCTTTAATTCTTCAAAAAGTGTTTCTCGCTGTGCTGGGTCTTTGCTGAGGTGTGTGGGCTCAGTGGTTGTTGAGTGCAGTCTTAGCTGTTTTGTAGCACACGGGATCTTAGTTCCCTGACCAGGGATTACCAGCGGACCACCAGGGAAGTCCCACTTCTTTATATTTTATATTACATCGTTCAGTCCACAGTGAGAGTCCCAAATACTCCGTGGGACAAAATTGCACTGCAAATGTGCGTTGTTTAGCTGAAATTCAAAGGTAACTCTGGCTGTCCTGTATATTATCTGGCAAGCCTGGTTTAAATCCCACTTCCTCAGGCGGGTGCTCTAGACCAGAGACTCAGACCTCTGGCTCAGACCCGCTTACTCAGCCCACAGACCTGCTGACCTGCACAGAAGACAAGGGCTTCGCGCACCCGGTGCTCACGTGGGTCCAGCCGGCCTCCGTGCCTGCACGGGAACAGGTGAGCTCGGGGTGGCCCCTGGGACAATCCCAGCTCAGCTGTGAATTTCATGTTTCTTTCACCTGTTCTGAAGCAAAAAACTTTTCAGGTCTGATGAGAGCTGGGGATATCAGGCACAAATCTTATGAAATAAACAGCTGGTCTTCCATTTCAGGAGACAGAGAGGCCTTTTAACCTACACAGACCCTGACCCTAGGATGAAGCCAACAGCTCAGAGCAGCTGACAGATGGACAGCAGAGTAGACCATGTTAACTGCTGCTTCTAAATTCCAAAACTATGTTTAGTCTATTTAATCATGTCGTAATCTTGATCCATTCTTCAAATCTGAAACAGTAATTTAAAAAGAACACATTTCTGTGGTCAAGGTATGCAAACTCCATGGAGCTGTTCGTGTGTGAAATAAAACATGCTTGTGCCCACCAAAAATATCATGCATGTTGTTTGCATATCGCTTCCCTGGGAACTTTAGGTGGTCCGACAGAACTCGGAGCTGGGAACAGCACGATCCAGGCCTCGTGCTCTGGGCTTTTCTCTCGACACCGTGGGCCGCTGATTATTCCAGATCCGCTGCTCAGATGGGAGCCTTCGTCATGGCGTGGGCGGCAGGGCACAGACTGTGCTCCAAGGAACAATCCAACACTTCAGAGAACATCCACTCACAATCAACCCACATGGACGAGTCCAAATGTGCCAGGGCCAACCCTGTAGCTGGGATTTTAAAAATCAATGTCCACATAGAATGTGGTGGCACTTATGAATGGTTGAATAACAAAAATCAACTAATTTGGAGCTTTTTAAAAAAAATCAATTAAATTAATTTGGAGGCTAATTACTTTATAATACTGTAGTGGTTTTTGCCATACATTGACATGCCATTTGTGTACATGCTTCTGTGTTTGTATACTTGTGTGTACGTGTGTATACAGGAGTGTGAGAGTATATACGTGTGTGTTTGTATGCATGTATGTATATGGTGTGTATCCATATGTGTATGTCTGTGTTGCATGTGCGAGTATGTGTGCCATGTGCATACGCGTATGGTGTGTGCGTGTGTGTGTGAGTGTACGTGCGTGTGAGAGTATGGTTGTGTATGTATATGCGAGTATTTGTGTATTGTGTATGTGAATGTGTGAGTGTGTGTGTGGTGTGAGTGTATATATGTGTGTGCATGTGAGTATGAGCATGGGTGTGCTGTGTGTTGTGTATATGTGTAAGTATGTGTGTGGTGTGTTGTCTGTGTGAGTGTATATATGTGTATGTGTATGTTTGCATATGTGGGTGTGTATGTGTGTTGTATGTGTGTATGATGCGTGTGCAGTTAAGCTCCACAGTAAATAGATCAATTTTTTAGCATCTAGAACAAGAGGGCATTCTTTGGGGGGAGGGTGAAGGCTATTTTATCCTGTTCAAATTTAGAGGTGAAAAGTGGCCATAAAAAGCCTCCTGGCTTTTCCTCCATTTTATTCCTGTTTTTAAATTTTCTGCAGACACGCTCCCACTTACTGCCTGCCCTGGACCCAGCTGCCCCACCCTGGGCGATGCCCCTTTATTGCCAGCCCTGGGCGAGTCTGGATCTATAGGGTCTCAGATTGGGAGGGTCAAAGATGTTAAGGGCAGTGGCACGTGGCTTTCTGCCATGGAGATCAGGACCCTGGAATCTACCCCGACAATAAATGCAGGGCTCCATCCTCACCTCGCTCCGTCAGCCTGCTGGGTGTTCCCTCCTCCTTACTGAGCAGTCCGCTGAGCTGGCTCACTAGCTGGACCCGCCCGCTGCGGGGAGGCTCAGCACCCTTTCTGGATGAAGACCACGAGGCTCAGGGCGCGTGTTTCTAACATCGAGCGGCCATCGGCTCCGCCCCCAGCTCAGCGCCCAGGCCTGCGGCCCTCTGCCCACCTCTCCCTGTGGGCCCCCTCTGAGCGCTCACCTGGACACCTACTGATTTCTCTGCAAAATTCACACCTACTCTGATCTCAGGGGAGGGGAAGGAGGTGGGGGCTGCCTCTCCGCAGCCCTTCCTGCCAGTGCGTCTGTCTCCCCATCACCCTGACCCTGGCGCGGGGACGGCTGTGGGCTGCTGGGGGTGGCGGCAGTCAGCGGAGGGCCAGGGTCAGCAGAGGGCGGGGTCAGCAGAGGGCCAGGATCAGCAGAGGGCGGGGTCAGCAGAGGGTGGGGTCAGCAGAGGGGCGGGGTCAGCAGAGGGGCGGGGTCAGCAGAGGGCCAGGCCTGCGTGCGGCACCTCGAGGACCATCCGTCCGGCTCAGTCAGGTCAGCCTGGCAGCCCGGACTCGTCAGAGGGGCCCGGCCGCCTCTCAGATCAGGTGGGTGGCAATCTGCTGTCCTGTTCTGACGTGGCTTGGCCAGAGAGCGGTGGCCAGGGCAGGCGCCGGCCCATCGCCGGGCTGGGAAGGGACCGAGGCTGGCTCCCAGAGCCTTCAGCGCCTGGCTCTGGAGTCTGTCCCGGACTGCGGTCCGGGCCCCGCCACCGCCAGCAGACACAGGCCACCTGGCTCTCGGGATTCGCTGGCTGGAATCCACGTTGAACTTCATCTGGAGACTGCAGAAGGGCAGACCTGTGCTGGTCTGAGGGTGCTGGCGGGACTCCTAGGGAGACTGGTCTGATCTGTACACAGCCCAGCGTGCAACCTGGAATCTTGGTGGACGGCAGACCAATGAGCCTAGGGCAGCCTTCGCTCTGCATTAAGGGGAGTAGGTGTGAGCTGGGTGTGCACTGGGAGTGCTCTGCAGAGGAAGAGGCCCCCACCCTCAGTGCCCCGTGACATCTTCCTTCCCTGAAACATGGGAGGACGCCCTGAGGAGGAGGTACTGGCGCCCAGGATTCCGCTCCATCGCGGAAGATCCAAGAGAAGCCCACAGCAGTGGACAGCAGTCATCTGAAGACCGTACTGTGCAGCCTCTCCAAGGAGGGTCCACAGCCCAGACCCCGCACCTGGAGAAGGCCGGAGGCCCACACACATGCCCTTGCCCCTCTGCTGGGATGCTCTGCTTTTCTATCCAGAGTCTACTCATTGCTTAAGGGGCACTTTTTTCTTTTTCATTATTTGCAAAGCAGAGAGGATTTTGAAATGTCTGTCAACCAGAGGAGCATGCCTCAGCTCCCAGGTACAAATTAGGGATGTTAAGTCTTGAAAAGGGCGTCCCCGATGGCTCACTGGATAAAGAGCTGACTGCCAGTTCAAGAGATGCAGGAGCCATGAATTCCATCCCTGGGTAGGAAAGATCCCCTGGAGGAGGAAGTGACAACGCACTCTAGTATTCTTGCCTGAAAAATCCCATGGACTGAGGAGCCTGACGGGCTACTGTCCTTGGGATCCCAGAGAGTTGGACATGACAGAGTGACTAGGCATGCAAGACATGAAAGACATGTATAAAATAGATGAGCAATGAAGATAAGTTTTGTAGCACAGGGAATTATAGACATTATCTTATAGCAGTTTTAATGGCGTATAATCTGTAAAAATACTGAATTGCTATGCTATATATCTGAAACTAATATAGTGTTGTGAATCCTCTATGTTTCAATAAATTAAAAAACAAGCCTTGGGTGGGACTCTTGGCCCAGTGAGCCCCCACCTCCCAGGGTGCCCTAAAGATGTTCCTCCATCAATACAAACCCACGGGAGCACCAGGCTGCTCTGCTCTTTATAAGAGAAGAGCAGGAAGCCATGCAAGATGCCTGCCTGAGGACAGGTGAGTTATCCACGCGGTGTCCACACAGGGGGCCAGTCCCTGTGAGTAGGACAGAGTAGACCTCCCTGGGCCAGCGTGCTGTCATGGCCAGGAGAACTGTGCTTTGTGGGAAAGAGCAGGATGCAGGGAATAGGCAAAAACTGCTGAGTGTACACAGTACAGATAATACATCTGTCGTGGATCCTTCCTTCTGTGTAAGAAATTAGAACGCCAGCAGGATATGCGTGTGTGTTTGCTTAAATAGTAAAATAGAAGCGGATGAACATGGTGCCTGAGGGGGGCTGGGAGGGACAGGAGGGGAGGGCTGGGGTGGGAGAAAGATGCTCCAGGGGACAGACTTGCATTAGGATTTGACTTTGACATTTGACATCAGGTGTGTGGCGTTTTACAGCGCTCCAAAGTAAATTCATTGAGAAGTAACTTATAAAGCACACTCTAAAATGGCTTTTCCACGTGCAGAAAGAACAGCTAAGCAGACTTGAAGTCGAGTCGCTGGCTCATTGTGGTCAGGAGAGCCGGGGTGGTGACTCCAGGCCTCCATCTTGCACCTGGGAAGGTGGACCACAGCGGGCCCTCACTGGTGTTTGAAGGAGCTGGAGTCCCTGAGTGGGAAATGAACACACAGATTTGGAATGTGGGAAGATTAGGGAGGCCCTGAGAATCTGAACATGCACTGGAGTTGTTCATATGAGCTCGCGTTTTTAAAAACAATCAGCGATGTTGAAGTTGAAACGCCAATACTTTGGCTACCTGATGTGAACAGCTGACTCATTGGAAAAGACCCTGATGCTAGGAAAGATTGAAGGCAGGAGGAGAAAGGGACGACAGAGGATGAGATGGTTGGATGGCATCACTGACTCAATGGACACAAGCTTGGATAAACTCCGGGAGTTGGTGATGGACAGGGAAACCTGACGTGCTGCAGTCCATGGGGTCACAAAGAGTTGGACATGACTGAGCGACTGAACTGAACTGAACTGAGGGCCTTCCTGAGGGGTCCGTTTGTTGAGGCTGCCCTTTCAGGGCAGGGAGCACAGGCTCCATCCTTGCTTGGGGAACAAAGATCCCACATGCCGTGCAGCATGGGTGAAGGGAAAAATCTAAAAAAATGTTCCGTTTTGAGTTTTGAAAGAGGCTGGAAGCAAGAAGAACACCCGGGTCTTGGTTTCTAAATTCTTTCCTCATGAATAAGAGCCAGAGTCCATAGAGACGTAGCCGACCCCAGACACAGGATGGGAGAGTTCAAGATGAGCCTGGAAACCAGTGGTGCCAGAAATCCAGGACGGATTCAAAGACTGATGGAGACATGCACGAAGGACATCAGGTCCTGGAGACAGGGTTCACTTGGACCTAATTTGGGACTAGTTGACCTTCAGAAAAAAGTGGCCCTGTATCTAATGAGGAGAGGACATCATTGGACAACTGCAGACTTTATAAGTCTGGACTGGCCCAAACTTTTTAGAAACGTCAATGTCACAAAAACATAAAAGGCAGGTGGGTGCACCTGACTGAAGCCTCTGGTGTGGCTGAACTGTGCCCCAGTCTCTCCCAGCAAAGACCCGGCTCCTGCAAATGAGACCTGACCTAGAAATAGGATCCTTAACAGAGGTAACCAAGTTAAAATCAGGCTACGAGCGAGGGGCCTGATCCAGTCACTGGGTCCTTATGAGCGGAAATGCCGCAGAGACCGGCACACGAGGAGAGGGCCATGTGGCCTGTGACAAGGAGGCAGAGATTGGAGTGATGCGTCTCCAAGCCAAGGACACCAAGGGGGCAGGCACCACCGTGGGCTGGAGAGAGGCCTGGGGTGGGTCCTCTCGGGACTCGAAGGAAGCCGCCCTCACCACACCCCACACACATACCTGATTTCAGGTGTCTGGATTCTGGGAGTCCGTTTCCATTGCCCTGAGCTGCCAAGTTTGTGGTCATTTTAGGATCTGCAGGAAGCCACGCTGACCAGGGAGAACAGGCCACCATGTGCAAGATGCTCAACTGAATCCTGGATTTTTATAAGAGCAAAAGGCAGCTGTCGGTGCCATCCTGATGGAGAATCGGGAGCCCTTGAGCCACGGCTGTATGTCGGAGGGTTGCTCCCGCTTTCAGATCCTGGAGGGAGGTGGGTGACAGCGTGTGGCTCTGGCAGGGACCCCCCTGCTCCTGGGGATGCCTGACGTGGGAGGGAAGTGGTGTCTGCAGCCTGACTAAGGTCTCAGCAAACAAAGGAGAAGCAGAAATGCAGAGAATGCGACCAGGTATCAACAGCAGAGGACCAGGGGAAGCAGTTAGGGGCGTTCATGGACTCTCAGCTTCGCTTTTGCCATCAAAGTTCTGTAAAATCATTTGCGGAGAAAGTTTAGAGGGAGGCAGAGGTCTCCTGTGGGGCTGTGGCATCTGGTGGCCTCCGGGGACAGGCATAGGAGGTGCCCGACCTCCTTGGACAGACCTCGATGGCTCAGGGTCCACAGACGGCCCCAACCCAGGGCGACCACGTCTGACTTGTCCCAGCTGGATGGTGAGGAAGGAACAGACACTGTGCTCAGCCCCACACGTGTGGGGTTAGGGGGGCATGCCACACACACACAACCACACACACACACACAACCACACACATACAGCCACACACACACACCACTATACACACACAGAAACACACACACAGCCACACACACACAACCACACACAGCCACACACACACACCACTATACACACACAACCACACACACAAACACACACCACTACACACACACAGCCACACAAACAGCACACACACAACCACACACACATAGTCACACACACACAACCACACACACACACGGCCACATACACACACAACCACATACACACACACACACACACACAGTCACATACACACAGCCACACACACACACCCACACACCCAGCGCTAGGTGCTCACACCGTCACAGCCGCTCTGCTCTCTGACGATTACGCTGTCACACCTGCTGTGGGCAGGGACCCCCGTGAGCACAGACCACGCCCCCAGCCCATGGAGCAGGCAGCCACGCCCACTCCTCGGAGAGCCAGACGGGCCCCTCCCCCTCAGTCCTCATCGCTCCATCCTCAGGCCCCTTAGAGCACGGTCGTCAGCGCTGAGCCTGGGCACAGATACCAGCTGTGGTCCTTGGCTCTGCACCTGCGTCTCGTCCGGAGGTTCCAGACACCCCACCCCGGCCCTGTGAGGTCGTCAGGAAGGAGGCCTTACTAAAGGTTTGATCAACTCCAGGCAGCTAAAAATCGGGGTGTTTCCTGGGGCCCCATCTTGAAAAGGAGATGGTATCAGCAAGGAGGAGCCTGCTCTCCTGTTGGGAACATTCTGGAGGGTGCAGGGTCTGGGGAAGGATGTGGAGGGCTTGATGAGGTCAGTGTGAGCCCCCAGCCCCCACAAGTGTCCACATGGCATCCACTCCAGGACGTGCGTGTGAGTAGAAGCAGCAACCGCCGGGGCTGCTGCTGAGATGGCGCAGAGAGGCCCTGGAGTCCCACCCTGCTCCCCATCCCGCCGCCCGGCTCCCCAGGCTGACCTGTGCACTCGCCACTGCAGGCCCTCGGCTCTCTGCTCCCCAGGTGCGTCCAGCTGACAGGAAGACAGGAAAAACACAGAGGGCAGAAGGCTGAGGCCGGGCTTGACCGGCCAGTGCCCTCCTCTGGGTGGCCCCTGCGGGCCCCCTATGTCCTGCCATCACCCCCACCATGGCAGCCTCTGTCTGCAGGGGTGGCCTCCCAGAGCACAGGGGTGGGCAGCCCCCATCTGCTGCTGGACGGGGGTGCTCACCCCTCCCTCCCTCGCCAGTCCCCCGACCCTTCTACACCCTGTGAGCAAATGGCACATAACTATCCTAAAGAAAGTGGTAGCCGCCTAGTTGTGTCCAAGTCTTTGTGGCCCCATGGACTGTAGCCCGCCAGGCTCCTCTATCCATGGGATTCTCCAGGCAGGAATAGCGGAGTGGGTTTCCATTCCCTTCCCCAGCGGATCTTCCTGACCCAGGATCGAACCTGGGTCTCCTGCATTGCAGGGAGATTCGGTACCATCTGAGCCACCGGGGCAGCCCAACGCACTCACCAGGTCTGACCCCGCTTAGCTCCTGCTATCTTAAGCATGATTCATTTCCGGCCAGCTCCCCGATGCACATCGAGCCTTGATCACAGCTCTTTCCTGAGATGCTCGGTGAGTGGAGGTGTTGGAACCTGTGTGGCTAGCAGCTTTGAACATACGCATCAGTCAGCCGCAGATGTAGGGCCATTGAGTCCATCTCGGAGGCGGGAAGTCACCCTGTTTCCCTGAAGCTGTGAAGTTCAGAGGAGACACTCTCAGGCCTCCTGACACCCAGAGGCCAGCACTTCTGCTCCTCGGGCAGCTCCAGGGCTGCGCTGGGGCCCGTGCAGGCTCTGGGGGCCTGTGTTGTCCTCGGAGGACCCGTGGGAAGCAGCTCTCCCTGGCATCTACAGACCAGGCAAAGGGGGTCAGTGTCCCATTTACCAAGAGCCGTTTAGATGTAAGGGGCAGGTTGCTCTGCTGACAACACTCACAGCACGCCCGCCCTGGGTCCTCTGCCCCAGGGAGTGCCTTGCCACCTCGCCACTTCCCTCCCCCAGGGACAGAGGAAGGCTGGGCCAGAGAAGACCCCACCTCTGAGCTGTGCTGACCCAGAGACCCACGGCTGTCAGGAACATCCTCTCCTCCCTATCAAGGTCACCGAAGCCTTCTTGGTTTCCAAGGTTCACAGATGATGAAAACCGCATTCACTTCTCCCATGGCTATGAATCCATTCCACCTCACCCAAGACGGCCTGTGGAAATTAATGTGCCCCTAGGCATCTGATAATTTATCAGTAAAAGCCCTGGTCTGTCTACCTTTGAACTCCACAGAGAAAATTAGCCCTTGTCAGGAGGGCAGTGCCCTCCCAGTCCCAGATTCAGAAGGTAACCAGCAGCTATTGATCCCACTCCTGCACACCTCTAATCAGCCCCCGATTCAAGTCCAGGCTGCCCCGCAGTGCGTCACGAGGCAGCAGGACCCATGTGCTTCTTTTTAATTTCCAGCAATGACCCCGTGGTTATGAGGGTGGCCGCTTTACATATTTACACTGATTGCTTTTTCATTGACTCCACTTTCCATTATGAAACACACATGGACAGTTGTCCCAGACCAGCTTAATTGAGTTCAAATTGTGTCACTGGACATCGGGGGATGTTAAATTCACACTCTGCCTGACCTAAGTTATTACTTGGCCCTAAACCAAATAGGTCTTGATTGTTCAACAAGAAGGCGTCAAACAAGCACATGTGGGAAAAACAGTAAGCAAAGCATCTACGTCGGGGTGACTCTGCGCTAAAAAGGACGGTGAAGATGAGCCTGGCGTTAGGTATTATACATCTTTCCTGCACAGCAGAAGAAGCATTTAAAGGTATGCCTTAAAATTCAAATGCTTCACAACTGTTAGACGGTGTCTATCATGGGCTGAGTATTCTGTAACACGTGGTGTGAATTTCCTTGGTCTCACAACTGCCCTCCGAAACACATGTTAGCATCTGTGTGTGGAAGACAGGGACACAGGTGCAGAATGGCAAGAGGACGGGCCCAGGTCAGCACTGATGGCAGGAGATGGTGCTGGGGGCCCAGATTTATCCCCGAAACCCACGCCCTTTTCATGACCTTTTCCAGACGCCCCACCCCAGGTCTTGGAACATCTGGCTGTTTACTGAGATACCCAAGTTTCACATTTCAGTTTTACTAACACGCAACTTGCTGAAAACTTCTGCCCCAAGTCAAGCATAGAGCAAGCTGAGGTTGAACTGGAGGAAAGTTCTGATTCTGCAGGGCAGAGCTGACCTTGAGGCAGAGCTCAGGCTCACTGCATTTGACTCAAAATGGGTCAGAGCCAGATAGAAATGCCAAACAGGCCATGGGAAAGGCCACACGAGGAGTTCTTCCTACAGCTAGACTTTGGGAGCCCCCCATCCATAGCTGGAGACCGGGCATCTGCACTTTGAAGACCCCTCAACATCGAGAGAGGTCCAGGGTCTCTGGAGCAGCCTTCTAGCTGGCCATGGCCTCCAGCTGCACCTCCATCCCTAGGGCTGCCCTCCCCTGGCCTTCTTCAGACTAGGACATCTCTTCACCCATCCCCCAGGGGCTTCCTTGCGCTTCCAGGTTCCACCCCCAGCTGGGTGCCGCCTGCAACCCGGCTCAGCCCTCAGCCTCCGGGTGATCACACGCAGGCTGGTGGAAGCGGTGCACGAGAAGGGGTGAATGGGCAGTCAGGGAGGTGATGCGTGAGGGGGCATGGCCTGGGCAGCCAGTCAGATTCAGGACGGTGGGCCTGAGACGCTTCCTCAAGAAAGATGCCTGAGCTGTTTCTAGGGGAACCCCTGCAGGGAGGGGCTGAGACAAGGACAGGCCCTCAGGCGGGTGGGCAGTACATGCAATGTCCAGGGCCCGGGCAGCATGAGATGCCTGGGGGCAGTTTTTCCAGCCAATAATGGGAGGCTCATTAGAAGACTCATTATTCATTCAGTTAGTAAAACGCTCCCATCCTAGGAGGGTTAAGTTCTCCATCCTGAGAGCAGAGATGTTTAGAGTGAGGGGTTGGCTGGACCCAGGTAAGTGATGAGACCCCAGTAATCCCTCCCTTAAGTTTATTTCCTCTGACCCCAGAGCACCAGCCTGCCTTTCCCCACCTTCCTCACCCACAGCAGCCTTTTCAGCTGCCAAGCCTGTGTTTTCCCACCTAAGAACTTTGACTAGGTGTGGGCCGATACAGTCAAGGTGGCAGGTGATGTGGTCCTCGCCCTGGGCTTGGCCATGGCCGCTGCAAGACTGTGTCGAGGGACCCCTTTGGGGTCAGTACTGGGGACCTACATCTTGCACTATCCACCCTCCTGGGAGGGAGGCTGGCATTCCTCTGAAGGGGCGGATGGGTATGCCTGCAGTATCCTGAGGCTGTGGACAGAGAAGCCTGCCCCACCACTTCATTCCTAAGCCCCTAAATCATCTACAAAGGCACATAATTAAACCACAAATCAGATAATCTAGGGGCTCTGGTTTGTTTTGTTTTGTTGACTCACACGTCACACATCTGGAGCAGTGAGAAGTCCTCCCACTCAGGCGTGCCCAGGATGACTCAGAGTCCTTCCCCGACCAGCGGGCTGCAGCAGCGGGGTGCCAACCAGACGCCTGGGCCCTGGGGACCACTCCTGCCTCTGTTCCCTCTTCTGTGAAAGGGGCGTACACACAGCCGCTCGGGGCTGCTGAGCGTGCGTGCGGAAACTCCCGGTTACTCTCAGCAGGCCCCAGGGCAGCGTGTTCTCAGTCTGAGTGCCTGAGTCCTTGGCCACCAGGGGTGGAGCCCTGCGGAGACCTGGGAGCCCGGTGACCTCCCTGGGCTCAGCCCTCTCATCGGCAAACTGTGGGTCCTTCCTTCCCAGGGCCCCCGTTCTGCACCTGTAGAAACAGGAGATCTTGAGAGCACCACGCCCAGGCCCACTCACACGGGGCACCGGTGAAGAGACCGGGCCAGGTGCCAGCCCACGGACCCTGCTGTGGGCTCAGCGGGAGAACAGGTGCCAGGATGTGGGTGGACAGCTTTGGGCTCCATGACCTGCACAGCCTTGCCCACAGCAGGAGGGCCGGAGAGAGAGCACGTCTGCAGTGCCTGGCTGCCCCGGGCTGGCAACCTGGCAATCCCACAGCCGCCTTCTTCCGATGATGCCCAGTTCACCCTGCAGGACCGGGACGGCCTTCCTGCATGGCCGCCCACACGCACCACCTGGTCCTCTGTTGCAGGTTCTCTGGCCCCTGGTGAACCCGCATTAGGCTTGCTTCCCCAGTTCCTTCCAAGGCACGGGCTGGAGGCTTCCTTCTGGGGGTATTGGCTGATCCTACCTACCAGGGAATTAGATATGTTTTCTCACCATGCTTGTGTTTTTAATTTTCCTGTATGTCACAGTGGCCTGTTTTTGTCCATTTTTATTTACAAAGTAAATAAAAAGAAGTTTATTTAAAAAGCAATTTATAAAAGTTATTTTATTCCAATGCATCACCCCTTACATATATATATATATATATATATATATATATATATTTTTTTTTTTTTTTTTTTTTCTGTAGCAGCTATGCGCGTGGGCTGTGTAGAAGCTAGAGACACCCAGGCCTGACCCTGAGGTGTGACATCGTCTGGTGGGGGAGGAGCCCATTCAGCAGACTGCCGAAACACAGCTGGCCTGGTGATGCGATGAAATTTGTTCAAGTGTAAAAAGTGGCTTCAAGAGTGTCAGGAATTTCACCTTCATTGTGATGCTGATAGGCGTGTTCTGCATTAGTAAGGGTAACACACCATTTACAAAATAAAACCCAAACATCAGTGGCTTAAGGTAATAGCGATCACCTTTCATGCGGTGATCTGGGGAGCCAGCTCCTTGCATCTGAGGCTGTGTGGTCCCCTGGGGCCCCAGTCACCCCTGCTTTCAGTCACTGTTGATGTTCAATCGCTCAGTTGTGTCCGACTCTTTGCAACCCCATGGATGGCAGCACGCCAGGCCGCCCTGTCCTTCACTATCTCCCAGAGCTGGCTCAAATTCATGTGCATCGAGTTGGTGATGCCATCCAACCATCTCATCCTCTGTTGCCCCTTTCTCCTCCAGCCCTCAGTCTTTCCCAGCATCAGGGTCTTTTAGCCATAGTGAAAAGAAAGAGAGAGAGAGAGAGACGCTTCTTGGCTCCGTCAGCTGGGAGTGTCAGTGCTCTGGTGAGAACGAGTCACATGGACTGAACTAGCCACACAGGGCGCCGGGGAGTGCAGGCCAGCTAGCTCTGTCACCACAGCAGGTGTGGCCGTGGTCCTCAGCCTGGGTCTCCCTTGGCTCTGGGCTAAACGCTGTCAGTCAGGAGACTCAAGGCAAGTGCCCACCCAGCGTGCTTAGAAACCCTCTCTAGCAGGGGATGAACCCAAATGCAGCTCCTTCAAACCGAAATGTGAAGCCTTTTGTTTTGTATAATAAAATAAACATTCTGTTCAATAACGCAGACAAAGGGCATTCCCTCCTTAACTGGTCTGCATCTTCTCTGGTCAAAGCAACAAACTGGAAGATACAGGGTCAGGGCTCAGAGATGAGCAGAAGTGGGCAAGGTGGCCTCTACCCCACGGCTGGGCACTGTCCACTGACGCTAGCTGGAATCCAGGATGAGAGGCCAGGAGGACTGGGCTGGACGCCTGTGAAGGGGTGGCGCTGCAAGAAGCAAATGCAAGGTCCCCTCTGCTACACAGAAATCCTTCCACCAGGTGGCCAAGCCGGTTGACACGTCCTCCTAAATGTCACTGTGATCAGGACATAGTACTCCGTCTCCCCTGCCGCCAGCCTGGTCCGAGTCCCCGTTCTGCCTGGACTCAAGCAGCGGCCCCCAGTGGTCTCCCTGATTCTGACTCACCCTAAGGCAGACACCCCCCAGCAAGCAGGAAGTTTGTTTAAGAGACAAGTTAGGTCATGGCGTTCTCTTACAAATATCTTCTAATCATTCATGGAGTTATTATTAATAATATTGAAAAGCTGAGAATAGTCTAAGTTCTCATCAGCTGAGCTTGTTGAGTCAAAGTTGGCCTGTGCACACAATGGTGAGCAAAGCAGGGTCAGGAATTAAGAAAGATCCCTCTCTAGTATTCGGGAGTTGCTGCCAAGGTATTGGGTTGGTCAAAATGTTTGTCTGGGTTTTCCCAACCCAAACAAGCTTTTTTTGCCAATCCAATTTACTAGTAAACTTAAAAAAACACAAAGAAGAACAATGATCTAAATACGTTATTCTTTTCTGTAGAAATGGAAAAAATGTAGAATAAATGATGAAACAGTAAATCAAAATAAATTTAAATGGTTACCTACGGGGAACAGAGGATAAGGAGGGAGAAACAGGTTTTATTATAGATTTGACTTGGAAACCACGTAAATCTTTAAATACTCCTAAAAGATTAAATCAAAAAGAAAATAAAGCCATCAAAAATCTGAACATAACCTGAAATAAACTGTCTTTCAAGTCACTGGCATACACACACAGAAAAAATATTTATTATCATTGACTTTAAATTTGATATTTTGACTGTACCTCCCTAAAAGAATATATCTTAATACAAAGCAACACATTCAGAAGTCTTGTTGGTAGAAGATGCATTGCTACTTTGAAACTATCTCTTGTATATTTTTATGATAGAAACCAATAGTAATTACACTGTTGTCCTTAGAGCCAAGATTTCCAGCAGAATAGAGAGCAGATGCAAGCATAACACAAAAGAAGTTCAAGAAAAACCCTGCAGTCTAAAATCTGAATTGGAAATTGGGTAAACTAATGCTTTTTTTCTCTTTAAACACATATTTGATCTGTATTTTCCAGCTTAGTGCAGTGAAAACACCCAGAAACGTTGACAGCCCAGAGCAATGAGCACACTTAGACCTGGATTATGTTCTCTAAACACAGCTTCCAAACTGGAAAGAATCAAGACTTTTCTGAAAAATGGCCAAGTCCAGTTCTCAGGCACAAACTTCACAAGGTGAGCCTGGGGATTATTCTGAACCAGAAGCTGAATAAGGTCCCGATGCTGATGGCGGCTGTGGGACTTGGGGCTGACAGAGGGGCTTTGGATTAAAAGAATACAGCCAGCATGGATGGAAAGCGTTTGTAATTGACACAGACACTCAAAAGCAAAATAAAAGCCATCATTGTTGGTTGCTAAGGTAACCACTTATTCCTCTGGAAATTGAAGAAAAGGAGGAGGGAAGAATCACAATTGATCTTTCTCTTCTTGCATAAAGTGTGTTCCAGGGTAAACAAAAGCGTTGATGGAGAATTTTTCCATAGAAATACGTCAGGTGATAAATTCAGAAAGAATCATAGAATTACAATGTCATCATTTTGCAACCAACAAAGAACGAGTGGCTCTAGTTACAGTCCCTGACGGATGGTATACCTGTAGCCAGCAAGGACGGGGGCGGTTAGAGGGGAGGATCAGGCTGACTGCACCTGAGCCACCCTTAATCTTGACAGAAGAGAGCGCAGGCACCCACACAAGCCAAAATCTAACTGAGGCTCTGGATCGATCCTTCATTGGAAATTCAAGAATCCCAAAAACATTCACCCAAAGAAAAAGAATTGATATGCCAAATTTAAATATTCTTCAGGTCAAATGACCTGATGCTTCCACAACAAATTTTAACACCCCCCCCAACCCCCTCAAAATAGGGAAGGAACCGCGAGAGATGAAATGAGACCCAATAGACATAATAACCGGATGCAGGCCTCAGCCGATCTGGACTCAAGCAAAACACACATAAAGACTCTTTGAGACACCGAGGACATGTGGATATGGTCAAGTGAACTTAATCAGTTGCCTGAGGTCACTCTCTGAGCAAACAGCAGAGTTGGGACTCAAATCTGGGACACGGACACCCTAATCGTTTGCACAACCCCATGGTTCCTCCCGGAGCATCACATGGATGTAATGAGAAGACTCTGCCAAAGAAGCAGGCATCTTAACAACTGACACAGGCTTTGATGAGCGAAGCAGTGACTGACCGGCTAAATCAAAGAACGAACGGCCAAGCCAAGGAGGCTGAGCCTTTTGGCTGGTAGAGCTCACAGTCTTCCGGCTGATGCCCGCTCTCAGCAGGACCCGCTCCAATGGGTCCATCTCATCTGAAGCGGAGAGAGACTCGGAGTGACACTGGGACATCACTCCCATTTCCCGAAGCCACGCTGAGCTGTCTTTTCTTCTGGAAACAAAATAATCCTCTTAATGAGAATGGAAGCACAGACTTCATTTCCATGGTTAATTAGAAAGCAGAGATCTAGTTGACCAGGGGGCATCTCCTGGCTTCTCGTGAAGCCGCTCATTCTGCTCCCAGTCGACGGGCATGGTCCCAAGCTGGGTGTGGACTGCGGGGGAGTGGGTACCCGAAGAAGAGAAAAGATGGGCTGGGGTAACAGGGTCACTTCCCGGTGAATACACAACGCTTCTGCGGTGATGTGGAAGGTAACTCTTCCAGGAGAAAACAGCCGAAAGCTCTGAATTCAGTGACTCCAGGAGCAGGAGAAAACTGGCAGGCTTTAGCCAAAAGGGGTATTTTTTCCCTGGAGGCAAACACTTCCTATTCAGCAGGGAGGAAAAGCATAGCCCCAGCCTCTCCCAGTGGGGATGGAAGACGGCGAGGATTCCCCTGACGTGAAGGCAGGCTCTCTGAACTGCTTGCAAGGCTTTTATCTAGGGACCTCCAGCCACCGGGTCAGCTGGGGCAGAGGGGCAGCTGCAGCTGGAGCCAGGCCACGGGGGAGATGGCGCTGGGATCTCACCATCTTGCCAGCTCTCCCGCAGCTGGGAGGATTAAGGGCTTTGCTGTGAAGCCACTTCAGGAAAAGATGCCTATGCGGGTTAGGATATGAGCTGAAGAAGGCGTGCACATCCACCTGTGAACAGTGATGGCTTCCAGGAAAGTGTATAAGGAGGGGTGTGAATTTATTTTCAGGATGTTTTATAATCAACTGTTACTACTTTTACAATTAAAAAAAAAAACTGGAAAAAAAAATCTTCCGTGCGAAGGTAAACACTGTCTGCTGGTTCAGATAATCAAGTAAATGTGTAGTTTGTCTCTATCTCATTTGCTTAAAACGTGAATGGCTTGAGAAATGCTGCCTCTGGGATGGCAGGTTCTGGGTGCAGGGGACCACGGACAGCCCTTTTCTCAGATTAATTGGCTCAGTCCTCCCAGCGTCTCTCCCAGGCCTGTGCTGTCAGCATTCCCATTTTCTTTGCTTTTTTAAAATATTTATTTGCTTATTTATTTATTTGGCTGTACTGGGTCTTGGTTGCAATATTTGGGATCTTCCATTGTAGAGTACAGACCCCATACTTGCTGTACCCGGGCTCAGGAGTCACGGCTCAAGGGCTCCGTGGCCCGGAGGCACGTGGGATCCTAGTTCTCCGACCAGGGATCAAGCCTGTGTCCCCTGCATTGGAAGGCAGATTCTTTACCCCTGAGCCCCCAGGGAAGTTCCCCCACTTTCAAGTTGGAAAATCGAGGTGCAGAGACAGAGAACTTTCCAGGTCCCCAGAGCTGCTGAGCAGCGGACTGAGGTTTGAACTTCAAGCTCTGAACTCTTGCCCCCCGGGGGTTTTTCTATGAGTCCCCCGCTGCTCCCAGCTGCAGGCCAGCCCCTCTAGCTACGGGACCACCCTGCCCTGAGGCCTGCTGCTAGGGGGCCAGGACTGTGTGGGGTTCAGGCCAGCTGAACCGCAGCAAGGCCTCCGCCCCAGGGGCCCAGGGAGGCGCTGCCTGCTGCTCTCTGTGAAGCCCCGTGCCCCCCGGGCTTGTGGCCAGCCTGGGCTCAGGTAAGGAAGCTTCCCTCCCCGACCTCCCAATAGTAGTGTGTCCCTCAAGCCTCCGCACCGCCCCCCTCCCGCCCTCATTCAGTCCTCTCTGAGACCGCAGACGGGATCCTGACCTCTCCTTAAGTCTCCTCCACCGGTCTTCCTGCCACCTGGTGATGCTGAGTGTGAATCCACGCCCTCCTGCCCGCCCCTGCCCCTCCGCTCCGCCTCCTCCTGCTCTGATCCTGGTGTTTCTAGGGCCGCTTCCCCGTCCCCCACCGCCACCTCTGAACTGGGACCGGGGTTGGGGGGCAGAGCTCAGTCCATCTCCCCGTATAAACAGGAACTTTCTTGGCCCGAAGGTGCTGGAATCCCACCCCTTCCCAACATCTCCAGGGGAAGGAGCTACGAGTTAGAACATGCGTGTTTGGCCCAGCCTCAGGCTCTTGGGCGGGCCTCCCCAACTAGGCGGCCCCGACTAGGCGGCCCTGACCTGCTTTGGAGATGATCCTCTGGACTGAGGAAAGCTGAGGTCAGGCACACGTCCCCTGACCCAGCCTGTGTCCCGAGTCACACCGTTCTGCTTCCCACGTCTCACACCTCAAACCCCGACACTCCAGCAGCTGCCCTTTCCTGCGTCTTACACAGGCCGTTTGGGCCTGGAGCGGAGAATTCCAAAGCTGCCAGGGGACGCTGGGCCCAGCAGTTGACAAGGCGCTTCCTGGGTGCCCCGCGGCCCTCCGGCCTCGGCCCCCAGTCTGTGGGCCGGGGGTCTGGGCCAGGCTCGCAGTTGCCCCCGGGGCCCCTGACGGATGGTGCTCAGCCTCCGCCCACTGGGGCTGGCAGCTCCGCTCGGGCGCTGGGGGCAGCTCGCTGAGTGGTCATCAGCTCCGGTCAGCATGTCTGTCTGCAGATCAAGCCCAAAGTCTGCCCCCCACCGTCCCACCGGAGGTTCCCCTGCTCCCACCGGGCTGGGGAGGCAAGTCTCCTCTCCCGGGAGAGGGCCTGGTGGGTCTGGAGGGCTGACGCCCGCACCCTGAGGCTGGCCCGTGGGCTGCAGGACCCTGCAGGGCCCCTGGCCTTCGTCCTCCGCCCCGGGCACCCTCTTCCAGCCAGAGTCCCCGAGGGGGAGGCAGGGACCCCTGGCCCTGCAGTGACTGAGCCACTAGTGGACACAGCTCACTCCTCCCTGGGCGGGCCGGCTGCTGGGCTGGGGTCCCGGCTCCCAGGGGGCGGGGGCGGCCTGTCTGCAGCTCCGCCTGAGCTGGCCCTGCCGGAGGCTCTCAGCGGCCAGGCCCTCCCGCCCCCTCTCCTTCCCACTTGGTTCCCACATTTGTGGTTGATGTGTGTGTTTTTTTCTTAAACCAGGGAGTAAGACTTCACACTTAACCTTGCTAAATTCCATCTTGTTCACTTCAGTCCATTGTTTCAGCTTGTCAAGAGGCTTTTTGTACCCAGAGTATTTCTTCCGCCACATTAGCCGTCCCTCTGAGCTTTGATCTGCAAATTTGACAAGCAGGCCTGTTCCGCCTTTATCCCCATCATTGATAGAAACGCCCGACAGGCCAGGGCAGGACAGGGCGCGCCCCCGGAGGCCTCCCTCCGCCGTGACATCGATCCGTTAGTCAATATCAGGCACTGCGTGCTGGCGGCTCTGCGGCTACCTGACGGCACAGGCCTGTCGCCCGGCCCTCCCGGCGGAGCGGGCACTTCACGGAGTCTCCCTGCAGCCCATCCACCCAAGTCCCGGGGTGCTGCTGGCTGCGTGTTCACAGACTGCAGGAGGTACAGCTCCCCCGGCCGCCTCCACGCCAGGCCCGGGGGCTGCCCCGCCGGAAATGGTCCTGCACTCGGTCCTCCAGGAGGTCTTTATTTCTTAGTTGAAGTACAGTTGACTTACAACACTGTGTTAGTTTCAGATGTATAGAAACGTGATTCAGCTAAACATACAGACATGAGCGTGTGAGTTGCTCAGTCGTGTCCGATGCTTCACGACCCTGTGGACTGTAGCCCACCAGGCTCCTCTGTCCATGGAATTCTCTGGGCAAGAACACGGGAGTGGGCTGCCATTTCCTTCTCCAGGGGAATCCTCTCTACCCAGTGCTCTGCATTGCAGGCAGGTTCTTTACCATCTAAGCCACCAGGGAAGTCCATACTATGTGTGTGTGTGTGTACATATATGTGTATATATATATATATATATATATACACATACACATATATATACACACGAGCATGCGTGCTAAGTCACTTCACTTGTCTTCGACTCTTTGAGACCCCATGGACTGTAGCCCACCAGGCTCTTCTGTCCATCAGATTCTGCAGGCAGGAACGCTGGAGTGGGTTGCCATGCCCTCCTACAGGGGAACTTTCCAACCCAGGGATCGAAGCCATGTCTTCTGCAGCTGCTGCATTGCAGGTGGATTCTTTACTGCTAAGCCACCTGGGAAATCCATGTATATATATATATATGTGTGTGTGTGTGTGTTCTTTTATTCTTTCCTGTATAGTTTACGACAAGATGTTGAATATAATTTTCTGTGCTGGACAGTAAGTCCTTCTTGTTTGTCTGTCGCATAAGTGATGTCTTGGCACCTGTTAAGCTCATATTCCCCGTTTACCGTCCGTCTTTCCCTGTTGGTAAACACAAGTGTATCGTCTGTGTCTGTGCATCTGCTTATTGTGTCAGTAGTTTCATTTCTAGGCATTTTCAGGTTTCACACACAAGCGATATCCTGTGGTGCGTGTCTCTCTCTGACTTGGGTCACTGAGTTTGGTCATCTCCAGGTCCATCCTGGAGTTCTTAAACTTCCAGCTCACATGCTGCCCTTCTGAGGAGTGGCCCTGATGACCGGCAGATCCGGATGACTTCTCTGGGCTGTCCTTGGCTTGAGTGGGCTTCCAGCAGCCCCTGGCTCAAGGCTGGAATGCCCGCTGGGCCATGCTCACCGCACTGGGCTGGCCTCCCACCACCAGCTCACCTCTGACTCCCCCTTCCATGTCCTGGGTGCGGGGTGGGGCCCATCGTCATCCTCAAGGATCTCGGCGGACCAAGTGCCCACGCGCCTGCATTCTTTTCTGAGCGGGTCACGCAGGGACGGACAGGTGAAGGCTTGTGTGGCCAAACGCAGGCTGCTGCCCGTTCGTATGGTCTGTGGGTTAATGGTTTTTTTTAACCTCTTTAAAAGATTGGAGGAAGTTACGAATGATAATTTTTCATGATGCATGGCAATGATATGAAATGCAGATTTCGGGGTCCACAAGTAGAGGCCTCCTGTGGGTGCCTCCCCTCTGCCGCGGGGTGGGCAGTGAGGGCGGCCTCAGGGCCAGACATACGTGCTCACCGCCCTTCACAGAAAACACTTGCCAATGGCTCCTGCAGGGAAATGGGCCCTGAGTAGGGCAGCCAAAATGTCCACACAGGCTGGGGTCCTAGGGTCTCTGAGGATGTGGTCTGAAGGCAGAATACCAGGGATCCCCCAGCAAATCCCTCCTGGGGCAGCTGTGGCAACAGCCCCGGGCACAGGCCGGCCGCACACCCGGGGCCTCACTCCGCAGTGCAGGAGGGTGATGGGGGCTTCTCTTTTCCTTATGGCCCCTCGCTCCCTTGAGTCCAGAACATGGAACAGCCCTCTGGAAAGATGAGGGGATGCGTACACTGGCCTCCCCCTTGACGGCAGGCATGGCGGGAGGAAGCTCAGAGTCACGCCCGCGGTGTCCGCTTACACGGCAAGTGCCCCGGTCCAGCCAGAGTCTGACGGACTCCAGGGGTTCACAACGACGACATCTGCTTCCAAACCATGCCGTCAGACACCCGACGTCCCCAGCGGGGTCCTCTGTGTCTCTCACATCTGCGCTGCTTTCCCAACACCAGGGCTTTGATTGTCAGGCGGGCTCGGTTGGCGTCAGCTGATCATCGGTAACAGAGACGCCTGTGCGGTCCTAGGACTCCCTGCCTTGCGGACCCTCGGTGGAGGGGGCAGTGTCCTAGCAGCCACCTCTGAGGCCTCGGCACAGCCCCCAGTTCTGACCGGTTACCCACCCTGCCCTCCCCAAGCCCAGGCCCTGCACGCCTGGCTGCAGGAGCTCATCTCTTGACTGGCCATGGCATGCCAGGCTGATTCAGTACCCGGGGTCTGTAGAGCTTCCCTTTCAACTGACGAGGAGCTTCCAAACTGCAGGCACGCCTTGCCTTCTTCTGCCCAAGGTCCAGGCCATTCCTGACGGCTCTTTCTGCATTTTCCCTTAAAGCAGCTCAGACTGAGACATAGTCACCCTGTTCCTGGGCAACCCAGATCCCTTCCAGATCAGCTTACTCCCCACTTCTCTCTGCTCCTATGGACCCTGCATTAACTTCTGAATTGATCCACCCAAGGCAAAACCTCCGCTGTTCATCCTCTCGGGAGAATGAAGTGGATAACAGGGAAACGCAGGATGAGAAACGAGGTGTGCAGAGAGGCACTCTGGGTGGTGGGGCAAGGACCTCTGAACATCCTCTCTTCCACTAAAGCGATGAGGACACTGGAAAAGTTTGTCAAAGTCAGCCTTTTCAGAATGCTGTACATTAAAGTCTTCTGACAGCTCAAGAAATGCCTTTTCGGGGAAAATTGCTGCATCTCAAAAAGTAGCAGACTCCATGGCCTCCGACTTGTACCGTTCCCACCCCCCTCCCTTACTCTGCGGTAGCTTGAAAACCCAACAGCACTGCGATCACGGTGCATCAGTCGGAGTTCTCCAGGGAAACGCTGCCAACGGCGCCCTGAGGACAGACTCACACACGGGCACACGTGTCCTGGAATGTATTTTCTGTGTATAACTACAGAAAACAAGTATTTGTGATAAGAAATTGGCTCCTATGATTATGGAGGCTGAGAAAAACCAAGAGTTGCAGTTGGCAAGGTAGAGACCCAGGAGAGGTGATGGTGGAGCACCAGCTCCAGTCCACGTCCAGAGCCCTGAGAACCAGTTAACCCACGGTGTCCACGACGGTCTGACAGCCAGCGGTTCAACTCCAAAAGCAGGGGAAGGCCGATGTCCCAGCTCAGCCAGGCAGGCAGGAGGAGCTCCCTCTTACCCAGCCTCTTTGTTCTGTTGTGCTTTTGTGTTTAGTCACTAAGTCGTGCCCAACTCTGCTGCAGCCCATGGACTGTAGCCTCTGGGGTACAGTCTGTTTGTACCCCCTCTGTCTGTCTGTACCTTTGTCGGTACAATCTGTTTCTACCCCCTCTGACAAATCCTTCTGTCTGTGGGATTTCCCAGGCAAGAATTCTGGGGCAGGGTGCCATTTCCTCCTCCAGGGGATCTTCCAGATCAAGGGATCACCATTCCCATCACAATGTCTTTGCTTGTCAAGCTGGCTCGGTTGGTGTCAGCTCATCGCTGGTAACACAGAATCCTGTCCAGTCCTAGGACTCCCTGCCCTGCGGACCCTCAGAGGGGGCAGTGTCCTTACAGTCACCTCTAATGTCTGGGCAAAGCTCCACATTCCACGTCCACACCCACAGGGGATGGAACCTGGATCTCCACCCCCTGCCCTTGCAGGCAGATTCTTTCCTGGCTGAGCCCCCCGGGAGACCCAGAGTGAAGGCTGCTTTGTCCGGGAATCAAACCCGGGACCACAGCTTGGAAGGCAGCTGAGCCGGCCACTGTGCCACCAACGCCCCATAACCATGGTGAGCAGTGGCTCCAGCAGCCTCATAGCTGTTCGCAGGTGACCAGGGAGAGACCCTTTGCCCCACACAATGAAGAATGCAAACTTCACAGAAGACTTTGGAAAAGTAACTTAACAAACAGCACAGACAGCAATAGGCCTGAGGAGGTTGAGGGGCAGCCTGGTTTCCAGAACTGTTACATTATATTATTTGTGCTGTACAGTTTTCAGAAAAAAAAAAAAAAAACTATGAGACACACGCACAAAAAATATCTGTATATTTGTGTGTGCATGTGTATACATATATACATAAAACATATTCATGTATACATCACATGTAGTATATGTTCTTAAGTATCTTTTGCTGTGCTGTGCTTAGTCGCTCAGTCATGTCTGACTCTTTGGGACCCCGTGGACTGCACCCTGCCAGGCCCCTCTGTCCCTGGGATTCTCCAGGCAAGAACACTGGAGTGGGTTGCCATTCCCTTCTCCAGGGGATCGTCCCAACCCAGGGATCAAACCCAGGTCTCCTGCAATGCATATATGCAATTAAATTATATATAATATCATTCAGTCATTAAGAATTAGAAAAGCCACATTTGCAACAACACGGATGGGCCTTGAAGGCATTTTGCATTATGCTAAGTAAAATAAGTCAGATGGAAAAAGGCAAGTGCTGAATGTTCTCACATGTATGTATGTTTAAAAAAAAACCAGCAAAGTCAGAAAAAGAGATCAGACTTGTGGTTACCAGAGGTAGAAGGTGGGGGAGGGAAAACTGAAGGAAGGTAGTCAAAAGGTACAAACGTCCAATTACAAGATAAATAAGATGTAAAATGTAGAACATGAAAACCAGACCTAACCCTGCTGTGCAATACATAGGACGGTTAAGAGAGTGAATTCTATATAAACTCTTCTTATAAATAAAAAGAGCATTTCTTTTGTTCTTTCTTGTCTATTTATTGTATTTATGTGATAATATGGATGTTGGGTAAACCTATTGTGGTTATCACATCACAATATATGGAAATCAAGCCATCATGCTACATGCCTTTCAGTTCAGTTCAGTTGCTCAGTCGTGTACGACCCTGCGAACCCATGAACCACAGCACACCAGGCCTCCCTGTCCATCACCAACTCCCAGAGTCCAACCAAACCCATGTCCATTGAGTCAGTGATGCCATCCAACCATCTCATCCTCTGTCGTCCCCTTCTCCTCCTGCCCTCATCTTTCCCAGCATCAGGGTCTTTTCAAATGAGTCAGCTCTTCGCATGAGGTGGCCAAAGTATTGGAGTTTCAGCTTCAGCATCAGTCCTTCCAGTGAACACCCAGGACTTATCTCCTTTAGGATGGACTGGTTAGATGTCCTTGCAGTCCAAGGGACTCTCAAGAGTCTTCTCCAACACCACAGTTCAAAAGCATCCATTCTTCAGCACTCAGCTTTCCTTATAGTCCAACTCTCACATCCATACATGACCACTGGAAAAACCATAGCCTTGACTAGATGGACCTTAAACCTATACAATGATCAATGTCAATTCTTTCTCAAGAAAACTGAAAAAAAAAACAGTTTTGAGACATGCAAAGAAACAGGGATATATGTAGGAAAGTGGGATGAGGGTGCAGTTAATAGACGCTCTCTCCAAGGAGCCCAGACGTGAGGCTTTTTAGACAGACTTTACCTATCTATCACAAGAAGAGAAAACTGCATGTCAGAATCCCTTATGATGATAAGGGCAAGTCTTCTCAGTGAAATACTAGCAAGCCTGATCCATTAACATCCAAAATGGACCTTATACCACTACCAATGGGATTTCAATATGAGTTAAATGCCCAAAAACCAATCTACATAATACATCACATCCACAGAATAAGGGACATGACAACATGACGTTTCAATATGTGAAGAGAAAACACTTGACAAATTCTAACACACTTTCATAAGAAAGACAGACTCAAGAATCTAGGAACAGGAGGACATTTCTTCATCTTGATGAAAGTTATATATACATATCTCACAGCTGACATCATACTTAATGGTAAAATACTGCTTGAGATCAGGAACAAGATGGTGATTCTTTTCCCACTAGTTCTATTAGACATTTTACTGGAGGCCTAGTCAGGGCAATTAGGCAAGAAAAAGCAATAAAAAGCATTCAAATTGGAATAGAAGAATTAAAACTGTCTCTATTCACAGATAACATAATCACACATATTGAAAATCCTAAGGAACCCTCACACACACACAGAAACTATTAAAACTAATAAAGGAGTTCAGCAAGGCTGCAGGGTACATGATCAATAGACAAAATCAATTGTATTTCTATACACTGAAACAATCCCCTCAAATTAAAAACAAGTCCATTTACAGCAGCATTTTAAAAGAGTAAAATACTTAGGATTATATTTAATAAAGGAAGTGTAAAATGTCTGCTGAAAATCACAAAATATTGCTGGAAAAATTAGGAAAGATCTAAATAAATGGAAAAACATCCTGTATT